ACTCTGATCTCAGATAAGAATGAAAACATAAGTATATAAACAATGTACATATGACACACTTCACCACACATGAGAGCTCCGTTTGAGAACTCTGAAATATGCCCAGAGTGCATTTTGTAAACATGAAATGTTTAATTAAGGATTAAGCTGCATGAAAGGCAAAGGTAATGAAAGCTTCATAACTGGAAGCATATATGGACACCCCACAATAAGAATATATAAATAGCCTCCATCTTAACAAACAATACAACAATAAACTAAGTGTTTTGTTGGTTAGTCATAATAAAGATGTCACCAATCTATTTTATTCGTTACTTCTTTGTCATCATTGTCCTAATTGGTGTTTCATGCTGGTCAGACTAGTGACAAAGGTTACACTGGAGACCTTGTTGAAGATGTTTCCACCATCAGTTTGCTATTGTACTTGTCTGTACTGTTCTTATCAACTCACTAAAGCATGTTTTGACTTTTACACTTTCCGTCTTGGTGGTATATGTCTACAGCGTCCTGTGCAGTTTAACATAAAAGTGTAAGCGCTACTACATACATTGATGAGTCAGGGCAGTGATAAACTGATAATCCTGATCAATCCATAAATGAAAGCGACAAAACCATTTCCATAATCATAAGAAATATGTACTACAAGCAGTCGTTTGTACAAATCCCACGATAGCATAATCACTGTCAAAGAGTGACGATACCAGGTCCCTTTATCAAACAATACATTGCATCTGTTACAGGTAGATATTTCTGATGAATGTGGAAAGGGTGTTGTCGCTTTTTTTACGAGTAAACACAAGGTTTGAATAAAGAAAGGTAAAGTCAAAATAATTACATACTGCGGAACCAATGAGTGAAATACAACAGTAAAGGGAGAATGAAACAATTTTATTTAAACGGAACCCAAAAGCAATTACAATTTCAATATAGCTATATTAAATACAATTTTGCTGGTTCACAGGTTTATAAGAATGGTTGGTAGTATATGGCATGCAAATACAATATAATGTGAAAATTATTTTTTCACCACTTGGCAAAGCTGTACAGACAGATGTACATCTTGAGAATGAAATGGAACCTGGAAATTTTGTATGTACGACTTTGGCTACCTAATTGTTCTAACAATTTCACGATCTTGGGTCTTGATCCATCGGCCTATTTTGACACATAATTACAAGTAATGTTCCGTACATCCTACCTCCTTTCTTCCATAGGCTACATGTAGACATAAGATACTTGAGCAACGAATATGTTTCACATGTACAAATCATCTGTTGAAATAAGTCAACTGAATATTGGCATTATAAAATATGTAAAACGTCAACCCCAGAGAATAATTCGATTATCCGCCCAAACAGATTCCAAAATAGCGGTGAAAAGTATATGAATGGATCGCTAAAAATCAGCGACTGCAGCTGATGTAGGTGAGAAGGGTAAACATATCCTGTCCTACTAGTACTCACAAAATTTGCATAAAAATCTAAGTGTTGTTGCCTGACGCCGCACAGCAGTTCCCCTGCCGTGCCTGTAAGCAAACCTCACAATCACGTGATCGATGGACCAACAAATCGAAAGACACAAAATGACACGATACCCCAAAATTTAAGTATGTACACATTCATGCTGAAAGAAAAGTAATGATCAAATATGATTGAAGTATCCATTTTTTACTATTGGTAATATTGAAAGTACACACAATACCTATCTTGTAATATGTTGCAAATACACACAGAAGCATGTTTTCCGCCTTTACTTCAAATAACGTTACACTGTCAAAGACACATCTTTCAACATTTTAGTTCATGAAGATTTGCATAGTAGCCAGGAAATACGTTTACTTTTCACTTTGAGAAACTCATTTCGTTCCTAATAGTTGTGTTTGCTGGATAATCTACATGTAGATTAGTGTTGTGATGTGTAGTTTGTGTATTGACGTCGACGTGCTTCCCTTAAAGTCAGTACAAGTCTCAAGGTTGAGGTGAGATGAAATGGCGTCTAACGGACTAATGACTGTTTTATAGTGCTTGCCCAATGAGATACCATGTCGAAGTTTAACATAGATACCCCACGCAGACACAGTTTACTGAATACGAGCCGAGCAGTCCTTGTTTTACCCCCTTGGTGTATTCTCCCAAGGACAGGCTGCACATTAAACATCATATTTGAATACACTACTATTGCGTGACATATGGCGATATAAATTTTGTATGCACAATGTTCGTAGTATCATGATTTATGTTCGATATAGGTCGATGACCTTAATACTAATTAATGGATGGTGTAAGAGGGTTTTATACCTCTAATCCTTCTGATATGACCCAGTTACGACATGTAGCGTTTTTTTGTAACGTATAGCCAAGAATCGACAATACACGGCTCTGAAGATGAAGAGTTTATATAGAAATATTTATGAATCAAGCACAAAGCCGACATTTCTTCCAAGCCAGAACTTACATTCAAGTTAGGAAAATAACTGAATGATACAGTGCATATACCAATCATTTACTAATGAGAAAATGTGTAATCAGTCATGTACAAAACCTTCTCGTATCATAATGAAAACGCAATACAGAAAAAAACATGATACCTGTACACTGGAAACCAATGACTGTTTTGTTACAGGAACATTTTGAAAAAAGTTTGGACTTTCCTTTCTTATATATTGTTATTGGTTCAAACTCAATTTGTGACAAATATCCAAAATAAACACTACAGATATTGGCAAATAGTAACTGCATATAGGCCAAATATAGATCTGGTTTAAAATACACACACTAGAAAAAAGTACGTAAGCTACATATAGTATTCGCCTTTTTCTGGAACATTGGAATACATATGTTTTATCACTTCGTTTAGACCCGATTTTCTCTGAAAGGTGCCAAATAAATCTTTAGGGACCCATTTTATATTTTGTGCGGAATCCAAACAGCAATATGTATTTTTGTAAACTCAAATACAAATGATTCTTTTCCAGTATTGTCCGAACAAATTAGTTCGAATTCGTCTGTACGAGCTCGGACCAGCAATATATATTTTTTTATATCAATATCCCAATAATGATGTAAACATATTAACAATAAATATAAAAATACAAACGTGAATTACAAACAATAAGTCTCTCCAAGTAATGTCATCGTCTTACTAAACATCTTTAAAATGTGGATAATTCTTCCTGTATGCTTCTTCTTATAGACGGATATTGCAGATATGGCATGCAAAGAACATAGTTTTTTACATAGGTCGAAGTACATTTCATTTAATATTGCTCTCAAACTTCTGAAATGTCTGGGACATATGAACACAATACAAATATAAATCTATCATCGTTCTGCAGAGTGTATAAGTTTGTGAATTTGTGAATTTATTTTCGAAATTCCATCTATCACTTGTGACTAAAAACAAGGACACAAATGGCTTCAATGCATTGTATTCATGAGCGAGGGGGGTCGCTCCCATGTGTTGAAACTGTTTTTAACAATTCTATCATAAAATAATATTTTAATATATACTGAGCCAAGTTAAAAACTTCACAATCCTAAAATTTTAACATTTTGACCAGTTATCATTGTGGGCCCTTATTGTGTATTTAAACGGTAATCGATGTGCAGGAGAATCGATCAAAATCATGTGCACGGCACTATAGTGGCAAAGGTGTTTTTTCACGTGCAACTGATCATGTGGCCATAATACCGCACGTGTTTTCAGCCATACTTGTTAGCAGTCATTAACAAAAAAAGAATAACACAAGAAAACAAAAGTCGTTACGGTCATTTGTAATGCCACGCCTTTCAAATGTGCAACGTGAACGTGCCATCAGCTTGTTGCAGACGGGAACGTCCGTAGCTAAAGTCGCAAGGACGATGGGTTGTAGTCGACGGACTGTTTATGATTTACAGACGCGTCTACAGCAAACGGGTACCACCGCTGATCGCCCTCGGCAAGGTCGACCACGTGTGACGTCACATGCAGAGGATCGTCAGATTGTCTTACGTCACCTCCGTAACCGATTTTTGACGGCTACATCAACCAGAAATGAACTGTTTAGGGGAAGACTGAGTGCGCAAACTGTTCGAAAGTTCTGAGAACTGCTCACCTTCAAGCACGACGGCCATACTGCGGGCCGATTCTGACTCGATTACACAGACGTCAACGTCAGTTGTGGGCACAGCGACACTTACGATGGACTCATAGGAATTGGAATCAAGTCGTCTTCAGTGATGAATCCCGATTTAATCTTCGATTTTCTGATGGTAGGGCACCGTCATGAACGTTACGCCCAGTGTTGTGTACAGGAAGCTGACAGATTTCGAGGCGAGAGTGTCATGGTGTGGGGTGCTTTCTGTGGCAATGCACGTTCCAGGCTTCTTATCATCCGTGGCAACCTCAACGCTGCTGCTTACCGCGACCAGGTACTGGCACCAGAACTTCTGCCTTTTATTGCAGCACATGGACCCGGTTTGATCTTCCAACACGACAATGCCAGACCCCACACAGCAATTTTGACAAGGAATTTCCTTCAGAATGCGGGAGTCAACGTCACGGACTGGCCGTCAAGGTCTCCCCACCTCAATCCCATCGAACACGTCTGGGATGCTCTTGGCAGAAGTCTGCGCACTCTCCAGAACCAACCGCAGAATTTGCAAGATCTTGGCCTCATTTTGCAGCAACAATGGCGTCATCTTCTCAATCATGTGTTCACAAGCATCACAAGGTCCATGCGGAGGCGTTGTGTGGCAGTTGTCAACGCACATGGTGGCCACACACGCTACTGAACGTGTGTGTCATCAGATTCTCGTGCTTGGGACTTATGATTTAAACTATTGATGTTATTACCGAAATACCGTAGGTGCTTGGAACAAATTATGTTTACCACCGTTAATTAAAATCCTTCTTTGGACATTAATGATTAACAATTACCTTCTCTGATACATTTGTCCGTTGTATATCATATATGGGATTACTTTTAAAAATGTGAAGTTTTTAATTTGACTCAGTATACATTCTACAGATTTTCATAAGCCTGGTTCTTAATTACGTCATAGTCATTATTCGCCTTTGCCTCGACATCCAGCGCAGCATAGTCGTTGTTGTAGATGTTGCGACCACGTGCCTGCTCGGATATAGATGTGTAGTTGTCTGATGGCTGTGTTGTGTCCTTGTCCACTGGCACTTGAGTTTCCTTGACTTCTACTGCATCCTTGTGAGACGAGCTTATCCACTGCAGCCTGCGAAACATAATGTAGAAAGCATTCGTCTGTTGAAGATGATTTGATGTAAGAACAAATATACATTGTAATTGATAAAAAGTATCATGTAGGTGGCGTTTTTGTAAGGTTTACTTACCTCCCTTGTCTTACGAGGCCCACGTAGAGTCCAACTCCTAGAATCAGCATGAAACATATTCCAGCAGTTAAGCCGATAATACCAGCTGTTGCAGGAGTGATTGCCGAACATCTCTGTGATTCTTTAAAACAAGAGAAGTAGCAACACAGTACATAGGTGAGGTAAGGTAATAAGGGGTTCAACGTAGCGATCAAGATTATTTCATGTATATTGAGACAAGAATGCACATGTATTAGTCGACTTGTACTAGTCCGAACTTATACGGGTTTTATACTGCTAGCCAACTAAGACACCATACCGCAGTTATCCCACTCAGACACCTTAAACTCATTCCGAGGCGACAAGTCATTGGTTTATCCTCTTATTTCCGTGGTCATGTATACTTCAGAGCAATTTATATGACTGAATTAATAACAGAAATGTCAGAAGTATTCAGAAGCAGTTGGCAAACATTGATCAAAAGAATTCTAAATCAACCCCAACGCAATGTTTCAGTAGATCGTTTGTGAAGCACATTGCATTTGGGTTTTAATTCCACCCTGGTCGACCGTGCGAGATCTAAAATAGGACATACGTTTACTGAAAGGTCACTGGTTCATGTCTCTGAATATAATGGATGTGAAATGACACTTAGAAAGCGTCCACATGCAAACGTATCAGACGTATATATCCGAAACCTACCTATGTCATGAAATGAGGTGATATTTTCTCCAAAGGAAGGACAAACATCTATTTAATGATTTTGATGTTTATTAAACATCAAATTTCATCAGTGTGGTCTGTTTAAATATAAGCCTTGCATCAAGCACAAAGAACCATCCGTCCATCATCAGTCAATTTGCTACCTAGTTTTGCTGGTAACTGTGGTGTTTTGTGACACTGTATCAATTTAAGGAACACTGACAATGAAAAGAATTCAAGAACCCATACCCTGAGCTCTTTTTACACCAAAACCAAAATACAAACAAAATGTGCCCCTTCTGATGTTTCCTCTGGTGAAATGATGTACAATATAATGCTTAAAGAATTACGCTACTTGTGGAAGTGATTAAATTATTACTTATCCACAATTTGATTAACATAGTCCTAACTATAGCTGTACTTCCCAGGGAGAAATCGTTTATTATTATTTAAAATGAGAAAAATAACGTACATTTTATCAAACTACAAGACAAATAATGTTCAATAGCAAAACTGATATTTGTAGAAACAAGCTTTTCGTGATTCGTCAATGTTGATAAATCGGAGCCCCCATCTCATCTACCACGAAAATATACAGTTGCTTCACTCTGTCCATAAGTATATCAACTGCACTTGGACATGTGAAACTATGTTTGCTGCTGCTTCTCCCTGTTTGCATATTACACTCTGTCTTTTGTAATATCTCAATTGTTAATCATGTAAATATTGTTGGACTCAAATCAATACACGATGTGGTGAGGTCTAGTGTTGGCAAACAACGAACATATTAACAGTTATTATATGATATTTCATTAACTACTTTCGGTTAGAGTGAATCCGAATTAAAACTACGTACGTTTTCGAATGTGATGTAATTACACAGTAATCACGAATCGTGATGCAAACATGTTTTAGTAAGATATACATAATGTACATATTGATACATATTTTGCCGGTGGTGCTTGACCAAGTTGACATCACGATATAGTCAGAATCGTACAATCGGCTATGCTTTTGGCAAAGATGTCTTATGAATGTCGAAAGGGATTTGTCGATCTTATTTCGAATGCGCGAAACCCCCGCCACCAATTTTGGTGTAGTGAGTTATATGTTACAGTCTGAGTGATACACCCAACAATGTTACATTTTTATATCTCATCCTTTAACCTACATCCCAGGTGGTATTGTTCAAAGCTCTTACTCCATAGAAATAACAATCGTGTGTGTATATGGGTAAATACAATGCCGGTGCCCCCTGTCGAATAATAGGATATTCCATATCAGTTTAGATCCCTTAAATTTGGTTGGTTGGTTGGTTAGTTGTTTAACGCCGCACTCAGCAAAATTCAAGCTATATGACGGCGGTCTGTAAATAATCGAGTCTGGACCAGACAATCTAGTGATTATTATCATGAGCATCAATCCACGTAATTGGGATCGATGACATACATTAACCAAGTCAGCGAGCCTGACCACCCGATCCCGTTAGTCGCCTTTTACAACAAGCATAGTCACCTTTTACGGCAAGCATGGGTTGCTGAAGACCTACTCTACCCCGGAATCTTCACGGGTCCTAAAATTTGGAGAGATTATACCAAAAGTGACAAAGAAACACATTTAGTTGATTCATACCCTCACAAGAAACTAGTTTGGAAGGATCCGCAGGCGTCATTGTATCGTACCTCTGCTTAACATTTCTCTTTAAGTGATCGCTGAGTAATGTTTTTTTAATGATAATTGGAACCCATTTATCAAATACAACTATGTCATTATCACCCTTCTGCAAATGATCTGCACCTAACAGACTTGTTCCTGGATGTCTTACTTAAAACGCTGTTAGCTTTTAGTACGATGTGTCAGTATTTCAGGCCCGATTTGACACAAATTGTTGAAGTAGTAATACCTCCTAAATGACGTCAATAATGGACCCTGTAGTTATTGCATCTGCATCTTGTGTAAACATGCTGTATTCAAGCTTACGGCGGGTAGTATGGACGACCTTCATATTCATATACCCACAAACCACTTCTTGCACGATGAAAATTAGCTGTGGCAAGTTTTGAGGAATTGAGTATAATCCAGACAAAAAGGTACTGTCGGTTCCAATGCAAAATACATGGTGCTAATATAAAACCAAAGTGCACGATTAAACGATTATTTAAATAATGAAATAATCGTCCATTTAAATTACGATTCTGACTATATAAATCAAATTATTATGGTGCCAGGTTTTTGCGAAAAGGTGAACGCCGGTGTCAGCTGTGGAAAAAAACCATGCAAGGGCAAGTCAATTATTCACTTGAACAAAAACAAAGGAAACACATGGCACAAGTGAATATGGGGAAAATGCCTTCAAGATATCTGGTATAAAACTGTATGTAAGCTTTGCGGAGCCTTTGAATGTTATCGCATGACGCTCTTTGGCGCTCGTAGACAGTAACGTGATGTGGTGGCTGTTACCTGCAGATGAGGTTGTTTCCTGGTATCCAGCCTGATACCCAGAGTTGTTTGCCCGTCAATTAGATGGTAATCTTAATTTCGATTATAAACGATTTGTAATGGCATTAAATACAAAACATGAAGCAGCATGGTTTCAAAAATGACTTGTCATGTTCAGCCTGATAACCTGTCTTGTGTAGCAGGACAAAAACATACTGCTTCTGGCCACCTAAGATTGATAAGCATTAGAGGCTAGGACACTCGGGATATTGTTGATGGCAAACCTTTTGAAAACCTAGTCCTGGATGTATGCTTTTGTTCTGTAATATAACAATTCTGGTAACAAAGACGCAAAGCCGTCATCAAAGGTTGGTTGAGAGAGTTATAGTGCAAGCCATTTCTTTTCAATACTTTTATTTAAAATAATGCAATTTCATTTAACAATTCATTTATCTAAATATCTAATTGGTTCAATGTGTTTCCAAGTGCACCGAAATTCTTGTCTGTTTGATATATTCAGCAAACATTCGGCGTACCTCCTCTTATCATAAGCCCCTCAGGTCAGGACCCTTAATCTCCAGCGCTATGAATTTCAATTAACACCTCCTAACGTCGCCGGATCTTACGTATATACATACACGTGGGACAATGACCTTGCCTCACGTTACGTAATACCTCGCTCTACAAAACCCGACTGACATGGTCAGTCAGGGAGACCACCAGAAGGTAAGTGACAGAACGGTTCTCCCAACCCGGGAACATTGGCCACTCGGTCCCGGTGTGCGTTCTGTCACGTTATTATCAACATGTACCTTTTCGACTCATTTCAACCTGCATCAATATACATGGCTGCTGTAGTCTTAACTTCACCCCTGAGTTTTGTCTTCCGTCATCACCCAGTGCTACAAACCGAGGGCCGAAACTTACGCCCTTGGACAAGAGCATGGACTGAGCGATCCCGGTCTCTACTTTGAAAAAAACCCACTCAAATGAAATATTTCGAAACATATATTATGAAATATTGTATTCTTTTGGTTGCACGAAATTGTTGTGGGTTTTCTAAATTCTTTTGGATAATGTGTTGTCGAAAATGTTCTGTAAATGGTCCGCGTGAATCTCTATCCGAATGTTTGAAAGATGAATGGACTGACGTTAATGCAGATGGTAAAGGTCGGGATGTTTTGCAATGGTGGCAATTGTGTCCATAGGTGGCCAAGGTTGGTAATACTTTCTGGTCGGAATTATTTAACTCAAAACTGACAAAAACCGTGACCTGTATTTATTGTATGAAAGGTACATTTTAGGTGTTATGGTGTATGGCGATAAACACATTTTCATGAGATTTTCATTATTCATTATAACTGACGTTCAATTCTTATAATGTCATACTGTGTAGTTTACTGGTCTCACTGAATAATATCGTAACAATGTTTGCTTAAGTTTGAAGTCCTCTGGTTTCGCGGAAGAACATTGCAACAATGTTATTTTGTCGGTATTTGCCGGCTATCGGTCACATACGTTTCCCAACTCATACTGAGTTAAATAGTTCTTTGAATATATACAACATAACCTGAAAATATGTCGACATCTCCCGGGAACTCCCGGGAATATACCAATAGTCCGTCAGTGTCATTTCAAGATTACGACCTCGTGAAAACGCATGAACGTAGCATTGTGTCGTTTATACGCTTCTGGACGTCAATTTCGCGGTCATGTGACCGACCTCTCGTCCAAGGAAAAAGTCGTATATCGTGCAAACTTCACATAAAACAATTATTTATGACCTTGTGTTTTCAATGTAGAGCTTGGTTACTTGTTGATTTAACTGTGCGAGCTTTAATTTGGAACAAAACGTGCAGCGTGAAGTTTCAAATGTTAAATTTAGCGCGGTTAAATTTACAGGTTACCCAGCGCAAAATTTAAAACACAGAATATTTTTGTCTATTCTACCATGACTAAATAAAACGCGAACTCTTTGGTGTTAGCAAATATATTGAGTTAAGCGGCATGGGGTGCGTCCAGTGTTTTGAATGGGTTGTCGATGGAATCACAGACAACAGCCTTTAAGCAAAATAGGTTGGTACCCCTACAGAAAACTAAGCATACCTTGCAAAGCTTTCGTTGTACACCGCACGTATTCATTATGACGTCATATCGCTCATTGTGAGGCAAAGGATATATCATCATGTAGACGTAAATAGAAAAGGGCCAAATTCCAAGCTCTCTGTGGTCCCCTAAACTTAAAATACATTCTGTTTGTAGATTTCTATAGTCTTTTCTGCAAAAAATGAATTGCTGCACACCCTTAGTACATTGTAGTAACCACAACTTTTCACTTTGTAAGCTATAATTGCAGATATGATTATTTATATATGTCTACCGACAATGACTGAAAAAAACCCATTATTCTATGAAAAAAGCTTTCAGGGTGATGCGGCCGTTAAATTGGTTGTTTAAATCAAATAGGGTTTATTGTGATTTGATAACACCTGACTGACCAATCAGAATCGAGAAATTTCCAAATGTACAGCAAAATTCAGATTCGCTTGTAATTAATGTATGTAAGCATACCATCGGATACAGTCACATACATTTCATTACAAATGCCAAGACATGTATTATATTCGTGATGCCCTGTGACCTGCTGCTCATCTCTGAAGTTCAGACCATTTATTTATTATGATGAACTACACAGTATATCTTACCACGCTTCACTGCGCATTTGGAACCAGTGTATCCCTCAGCACATCCCCAGAGACATCTTCCATCAACAGCATCACATGTCCCGTTACAGCGGTCGCAGTGTCTCTCACAGTTCACGCCGAATTTCCCATTGTCACAACCTGAGTAGAAAATAAACAGTTGTATATTTGCAGCTACATTATACATAACCTAGTTGGGTTGTTGATTACTCGTAAGCGTGGATCTGACATTTCAATCGTTTTTTTCTCGGGAGTTTAAGGTACTGGAAGGCGTTCTATTTGATTCTAATAAATAACAGAAATAATTATATATTTATGATATCTCTGCAGGACTGAGGGCTAAACGGGTCATAAAGGGTCCTTTGTTGAGAGATCACAACAAAGCTGCTCGTTTAGCATGGTGTATTGCGCGACAGAATTGGAATCTGAGAACTTGGAGACGGATCCATTGGTCAGACGAAAGTGGCTTTCTGCTCCACGTCACCGATGGAAGAACGGCCTTTATCCCTTGGAACATTAAACCGACTGTTGCATAAGGCGGGGGCTCGGTAATGGTTTGGAGTGTATCTTTCATGATTGCAGGTTGGAAATTTTCACCATAAGGGGCAACTTAACAGGGGCTCAGTACATCCGGGACGTTTTGAGGCCAGTCATCTTTCCTCATTTTGACAAACACCCTCTTGCTACGCGACCTCAGTACATAGATGACAATTCCAGGCCTCATCGTTCGCATGCAGTCGTGGATTTCATGAGGGCCAATGCAATAACGACTCTACCCTGGCCAGCAAGGAGCCCAGATTTGAACCCCCTTGAACATGTTTGGGATATTCTGGGGCGGCGCATAGAGGCGCGAGTTCCTCCTGTACAAGATTTACGCCAATTGGAAGCAGCATTGCATCAGGAATGGTTGTTGTTGACCCATCAACAGATCCAACGTCTGACTAGAGGCATGAGACGTACATTGGAATGCATCATCCGGGCACATGGCGGTTATACCCGCTTCTGATCTGTTTCTCGTGTCATGTCAAGTAGAGACTTTCAGGAACATTTTCACACGCATCAAACGTAACTCGTTTACCTTACCCTGCAGCTCTATACCTTTTGTAGGTATTGCCTAAGGTCAAAAACAGTACCCGTGTCACCATGATGGTTTTGTCAGTAAATTTCAGTTACACCTCACCTATATCTTTTTATTTGTTGTCAAATGACATTGGTATTGCCCAGCTCCTGTGGTCCGTCATCCCATGCCATGATTTTTGCCATTTGTCATGGTTCAGAAATAGGGGTGTGCTTAACTTTCTTCTTTGTGTATATATTCCAACTGTTAGACTGAGCACATTTGTTACTTATTGACGGTTTACACTAACCTGTCTGGCACAGGGGACGTTCCCACCCTGCCTGACATCCACCTGGACAGGTTCCATTGACGTGATGACATGTTTTGTTATCAGCACAGTGGCCGCAGGTTGATTTACAGTTGATGTCATACAATCCACTTGGACACTCTGTTTGGAATAGCACAGAGCAAATAATAGTCCTATCTTAACACATCAACACCGAGGGACCGATCCATCATGTTCGGGGAAGGGGAGGCGGAAGACTGTGCCTGGGATTTATGTAAGAATCAGGATATATGTTCCATCACCGACTAAAAGCATTTTTTTCTGTAAAGTGAGGAACAGACATCATTATTTTCATAACTCGTATTTTTCAAAAAACATCAAGCATGTCAAACGTACAATTTATCTTTGGGAAATAAATTCTGAGAATAGAATATGTTCTTGCTGGATCAAGTTATTTTGTATTAATAATGGTCGGCCCCTATTATACACGTAGGATGTCAAATCAGGTCATTTTACAACCAAGGAACCTTGAGGGTCTCATGTCAGATTCGAAACGTATTTCCATGTCGCCAAAAGATTCATACCATCGGATACAGTCACATACATTTCATTACAAATGCCAAGACATGTATTATATTCGTGATGCCCTGTGACCTGCTGCTCATCTCTGAAGTTCAGACCATTTATTTATTATGATGAACTACACAGTATATCTTACCACGCTTCACTGCGCATTTGGAACCAGTGTATCCCTCAGCACATCCCCAGAGACATCTTCCATCAACAGCATCACATGTCCCGTTACAGCGGTCGCAGTGTCTCTCACAGTTCACGCCGAATTTCCCATTGTCACAACCTGAGTAGAAAATAAACAGTTGTATATTTGCAGCTACATTATACATAACCTAGTTGGGTTGTTGATTACTCGTAAGCGTGGATCTGACATTTCAATCGTTTTTTTTCTCGGGAGTTTAAGGTACTGGAAGGCGTTCTATTTGATTCTAATAAATAACAGAAATAATTATATATTTATGATATCTCTGCAGGACTGAGGGCTAAACGGGTCATAAAGGGTCCTTTGTTGAGAGATCACAACAAAGCTGCTCGTTTAGCATGGTGTATTGCGCGACAGAATTGGAATCTGAGAACTTGGAGACGGATCCATTGGTCAGACGAAAGTGGCTTTCTGCTCCACGTCACCGATGGAAGAACGGCCTTTATCCCTTGGAACATTAAACCGACTGTTGCATAAGGCGGGGGCTCGGTAATGGTTTGGAGTGTATCTTTCATGATTGCAGGTTGGAAATTTTCACCATAAGGGGCAACTTAACAGGGGCTCAGTACATCCGGGACGTTTTGAGGCCAGTCATCTTTCCTCATTTTGACAAACACCCTCTTGCTACGCGACCTCAGTACATAGATGACAATTCCAGGCCTCATCGTTCGCATGCAGTCGTGGATTTCATAAGGGCCAATGCAATAACGACTCTACCCTGGCCAGCAAGGAGCCCAGATTTGAACCCCCTTGAACATGTTTGGGATATTCTGGGGCGGCGCATAGAGGCGCGAGTTCCTCCTGTACAAGATTTACGCCAATTGGAAGCAGCATTGCATCAGGAATGGTTGTTGTTGACCCATCAACAGATCCAACGTCTGACTAGAGGCATGAGACGTACATTGGAATGCATCATCCGGGCACGTGGCGGTTATACCCGCTTCTGATCTGTTTCACGTGTCATGTCAAGTAGAGACTTTCAGGAACATTTTCACACGCATCAAACGTAACTCGTTTACCTTACCCTGCAGCTCTATACCTTTTGTAGGTATTGCCTAAGGTCAAAAACAGTACCCGTGTCACCATGATGGTTTTGTCAGTAAATTTCAGTTACACCTAACCTATATCTTTTTATTTGTTGTCAAATGACATTGGTATTGCCCAGCTCCTGTGGTCCGTCATCCCATGCCATGATTTTTGCCATTTGTCATGGTTCAGAAATAGGGGTGTGCTTAACTTCTTCTTTGTGTATATATTCCAACTGTTAGACTGAGCACATGTGTTACTTATTGACGGTTTACACTAACCTGTCTGGCACAGGGGAAGTTCCCACCCTGCCTGACATCCACCTGGACAGGTTCCATTGACGTGATGACATGTGTTGTTATCAGCACAGTGGCCGCAGGTTGATTTACAGTTGATGTCATACAATCCACTTGGACACTCTGTTTGGAATAGCACAGAGCAAATAATAGTCTTATCTTAACACATCAACACTGAGGGACCGATCCATCATGTTCGGGGAAGGGGAGGCGGAAGACTGTGCCTGGGATTTATGTAAGAATCAGGATATATGTTCCATCACCGACTAAAAGCATTTTTTTCTGTAAAGTGAGGAACAGACATCATTATTTTCATAACTCGTATTTTTCAAAAAACATCAAGCATGTCAAACGTACAATTTATCTTTGGGAAATAAATTCTGAGAATAGAATATGTTCTTGCTGGATCAAGTTATTTTGTATTAATAATGGTCGGCCCCTATTATACACGTCGGATGTCAAATCAGGTCATTTTACAACCAAGGAACCTTGAGGGTCTCATGTCAGATTCGAAACGTATTCCCATGTCGCCAAAAGATTCAAACAAATGCCCATGCATTTGATCTGTGACTGGTGATTTATGCATAAAATGCTCGCCGCTTTCATGCACCTAAAAATGACCATTTCATATTCTAACTAGTCGGGTGTTCAGGGAACTTGACACATATTTTGTCCTACCAGCACCAATAGCTACAGCTGCAGAATGTGGCTTTCACTTTCTTATCATCACTTACTTACTTACTCTCAATGTCTTCTGACCTAGAACCCTCTGAGTTTTATCTCTTCCCTTCACAGAAAACACAACAAATGAGCGAAGAAAATAATATGAACGGGTCACTGCAAATCAGTGATGACGCCAGGTAATCGTGAAAGGGTAAGCAAGTCCTCCTCTGTCGGTGGCATTCGCCACGCATAGAAATAAGTGCCAGTTAGTAAGCAGATTTAAAAAAACCATCCAAAGGTAATAACAGGGTATAATATCGCCAATCCTGTTGATAAGCGAGGTGCCATATTTAGTAAATTTTTCTGCATATCTGCCACAAAATGTATGGAATAACATAAGCAGGACTATGAATACTCTTACCTACCTAAACAGTTGATCAAAGTAGATGCCTTTTACCGGAGCTAATTGTATGCTGCTAGACATCAGACAAAATCGAAATCACCCCTCATGTCTGACTCATAGGTACAGACACTGCCTTTATTCAGAATGTCTGAGCACAAATCCAGATAAGCCTCTGAATGTTGTTTCTTTTAGTTGACAAGAGAAGTCGAAATATCCCAAACATATACAAACAGATCAGCTACGGGAACTCACGGGATCAAACGTATAAAAACAGATCAGCTTCGGGATCTCATGGGGATCAAACATATACAAACAAATCAGCTCCGGGATCTCACGGGATCAAACATATACAAACAGATCAGCTTCGCGATTTCACGGGATCAAACATATACAAACAGATCAGCTACGGGATCTCATGGGGATCTCATCAAACGTATACAAACATATCAACTTCGGGATCTCACAGGGGTACCTACTACTTGTCCCCAAAGTTGACCCAGATATTGTCAATTTGGAATCCAGGACACACATATTTGGATACATGAAGCTACTATGAGAAGAGCTACTTTCATTCGTAACAAATTGACTACATCCTTCAAACAATTATCTAAGACACAAAAGACCTGTTGATAAGAAATAAGAATGTGATTTCTCTTTCTAATTATCGTGGGACAAAGATGAAGCATCACTGGACCAAGTGTACTGACGTCAAATGTAAATAAAAGCCACAAAACTTGTCATTAATCAAACGAAACATGTCAAGATCCGCATTGGAATTTGTCTTCACCTTCACCCTTGTCGTAAGAGGCAACTAATGGGATCGGGAGGTTAGTCTCGCAGACTTGGTTGATGCATGTCACCCTATCCAAATTGAGCGGATAGATAAAAGGCGTTAAACAATTAACAACCAAACAAACAAACATAATCAATAGAAATCTCCGTTGAAAGCAGAGTCGATTGAACGACTCTGACAAAATCACGAAGCCACGAACATTTTCAGGAAAAATACATTGCTAATATCTTTCCAAAATTCCTTGAGCAACTTTAAAAAAAGGTAACTGTGTACCGCCGTTTTATTGTTAATGATATATCCTCATCTTGTGTTAGATGTACGTTTCTGTTGTATGCTTGAATTATAATAGATGGCAGACTTGTATATAAAATATATGTATGTCAGTTTGGTACCAGAAAATTGAATGTTACCTTGTGTGCAGTCCTGCCGTGTCCATCCCACATCACATTCAGCACTGCATGCTCCATCAACAAGACAGGATGTACTAGTACAATGTCTATCCGCACATTTCAGAGAGCAGTTATTTCCATAAAAGCCATCAGCACAGTCTGAAAGTAAATGGACTTAGTAATCACTTTACACACTATGTTCCGGAATTCAAGTGTTATTATTGTACCTTGAATCCTATGATTCCTTATTATTATATATTTTTGAACAATATATTGGAACCTAATTTGTGTTTCTTTAATTTCAACCGCGCCCAACTAACCTTCACGCGTTATCATCATTTTAGTGGAGGGAAAAGAAGTCGAATTATTTTGAAGCATTTTGGGGATTCCTGGCTGAGTGATAATTTATAATGAGAAATAAGTGTCGCCTACAACATGCACGTACAACCTGTGCAGAATAACACAGTGCTTATAGATACGAATAAGACATATTCATTGTTTGATTTTAGTCCAGATAAAGTAAATGGCCTATCATTTCTTTTCACGGAAATACTCTGCCTCAATGATATACTACTGACAGGACTGTTACACAACCTTTTTTTATGTTATGAGAACTTTCTTTTGAAACTGTTAAAATAATGGTGCCTTTAACCTACTTCTTGTGCAGTCTATCTCTGTCCATCCATCTTCACACCCATCAGGACACCGTCCTATCACTCTGTCACATGAAGAGGGGCGTGTCTTACAGTGTCGGGAACTGCATTCTCGGGCACAGTTAGGGCCGTACATCCCCGATGTACATGCTGTGTCAGGTAGGAGTGAAAGCTACGTTTGAGAGTGTATAAACTTGAAAAGACTTCAAACTGCCACCGAATTGACCAACCAGTCATCAAAAAATAATTAAAAGTATGGATTAAGAAAAACTGGAAAATACATCCTCACACGTAAATGCAATATATCTGGTGGTAATGCAGAACAACACAGGCACACACTCGCTGAATCAGTTAAATAAACGCAATTAAAAAGTACGTTTTGTAAATAACACCAAAAAACATTTCCATAATCATAAGAAATCTCTACTTACTGCAGAGCTAAGTGTACGATTCCGACTACAACAAGTAGGAATTATACCAGGTCTTCGAGAAACAGTAAGCGTTTCCTGCACCCGTCATGGATCTGGTGTGTTGACTATTACCTTGAATACAGTCTGTTCCTTGATATCCAGCCGCACACCCACCGACACACTGTCCTTGTACGTCACAACTGGAGGTCATCTTGCACTGACGTGCATCACAGCGTTGTTCACAGTTGCTTCCGTAATACCCAGAAGTGCATGCTGGTAAATAAAATGAGTGCAAAAATTCGGTTGAGCGCAAATTTGACCAAATCAGTTATATAGCGATGTGTCTGCTTGATGTGGGAGGGAGCCCGAAGTGATGTAGGTCTCAGACGTTTACCACTTTCGTGGAGCCAATGACCGAGGGTATGGTGCCGACAGACCTGGAAATCTAATGAGGACGAATCCGGCAAAGGGGCGCAAGTATCTACATCGACTTGTGGCGCCGTACACGGATTCTAAGCTTAATGATATATTTCACATATCAGATGTTAATAAATATATTTCTTGATATTGAAAAAAATAACGTATTTTCAGTAAAATCAGTATTCAGGCTTTCAGAATCAATCATAGGGTGACCCAAATGACATCAGAGTTTTTTTTAATGATAACAATGTCATATTTCCTATAGTCAGATACGTCAGACTGCATGTTATTATTGCAATCAAAATATATCGCACAGTATTTATTAAAGGGCAAAAAGGACTACATATTATATTATTTTCAAACGAAGTCATTGCCTAAGGGTCAGTTGTATCAAAATAGGACAGTGTCGCGGACACCCGTTCAAGGAACACATTTTCTACAGATATTAGCAAACAATAACAGACACGTATTGGCTATGAAAGGTTGTTCATTTTGCAAAAATAACTTGATAACAAACGTTGGTACAAATATCGAACAAACTACACGCAAATTCCCTGGCCTTCAAGAATTGGTCTACTGAGAACACAGCAATAATCTTCACATGCAAAACCTGACGTATCTGATGTCAACCTGAATCAACAACAAAAGTTCACAAGTGCCCGATCTTTGGCTTAAAACCGTCTGAAGTTTAAACATGTATATGAAAGATGAAGTTTATATTTTCTCCATATGACATTCAGCACAAACTCTAACATAATGTATCTGATGCTTTTTGAGGCATCGTTGAAATCTGGGACATTTGTACAAAATACGAAGTGAATGTTCATTTGAATGCCTTCTCGGAACGGGCGACGTCACGTGCAGCTACCTTGTACTGGCGCCTTGTTTTGCCAATAGCGACCGGTTCATCAATAAAGCAGAGCACATCGTCAAATTCTACCCAAATTTCATCAGGGCGAGATAGACACTTATACGTACAAGAAAAAAGAACCCAATTCTGCTGCATGACTGCGTGCATATTCATTGTACCATGTACAACCTTTGCGTTAGAGGAAGATATGTCCTACTCAGCCTTCTCTACTTCAGCAGTAGAGTAGAATCTATATTGGATTGATTTTTTATTGTGTCTCGCCAACTCATAAAATTCGTGGACATCTTGAATTGTCGCTTTTCCTTGTTTAACTGCGTCGGATGCCTGGCGTTTACATGCACCTCCTAGTCCATCACAGGGACCTTTCCCTTGGCCAATCTTCCTAAATGACATTTGGGGATAAGTTAATTGTACATGAATAATATTTTGCCTTGTCCTTTGAGTTGAATAACTGATAAGATATCTTACAGTATTATGAATATGGAAAGAAAAGGTTTGTGTGTTAAACAGTTTCCTTCTTGCACTACCACATGCACTGTTTGCTAGAATTCTTGTGAGTAAATAAGAAATCGTGCACCTTTATGGATTACAACTTCTGGTTTGTTACATCTCGCAACGTTTCAATGTAGATTCATAGCAATGCGGGAATGGCTCCAACCGTCAGTCGATCGCAGTTGACGTCAAGTGGGAGTACATTTTGATATTAAATATGGAGCAATAAAGTATACCATTCGATTCAATTAAGAAGTTTTGAGATTAAAATAAATAGTTATGGGATAAGATAGGTATGCTATGTTAAACAAAGAATATAGATAAGAAACATTGTTAAACATAAACATAAAACAGCGGCTGACAGAGAGGCAAGGTGCTGGTAAAAGGGGGCTGCAGAGAGGGTCGTGGTTGTTGATATCATACTCGACATAAAATGACTGCTTTTATAGTTTAAATAAGGTATTGAATATGTAAACAATCAGATAGTTTACCGTCTATCTTAATTGGACACAACGCGCACATGTTTTGTATCAATTTTACATAATCAGATATCCCAAAGAATATTTCGAAACAACCAACATTATGGCGAGTCGTAAGGTATCAACATTCTGCATATCAATAACAACATAAAAAACAATTCCCAGACCAAGACAATTCTTCTAAAATTGTGCATATATGTTAACAAAAATTATTATCCATTTCGTTAAAGATATATATATATATATATATATATATATATATATATATATATATATATATATATATATTCAGTTAAAATAAATTTAAAATCAAATGAAATGGCTTTTCATTAACCTGTTTTATATGACATTACAATATTGACTATTGCAATCCAAAGAAATACGTACATGCTGCAGTTACATTTACATTTCATCGTCTGACACTTCTCTGAAGGAAAAACAAATGTCGTATATGACACTACAAACTTATCAATTTCTTATGTAAACAATGTTCAAATAATCAGGAGATTATCAAAGGTTCATACATTTTGTGGCCAAAATCTCCGTATGATATCATATTGAACATTGATAAATATCCATAGTGACGTTAATTGTGTGAACAATGTATAAAAGATATGCAAAATCAACATCATAATTGAAACTGTCCACAGCAGGATACAATGATCTGTGAGCTGTCGTTCAAGGACCTTCACCTCAAAGAAATTACCAAAGATGTACAACAATGTTGACCTATAAGATCACTACCGGTGTCCGGCTTTTAAAAATTGGCGTGTTCACTAACAACGGTTAGCGGGAATTTACGAGGGGACTTTCGTTGATTCAGGGGTCGTATATACATAAATGTGACATGTAAGTTATCAGAAACATTCTGACAATCTGTTTACTGGTATATGTTGTTATATTTCTCATTGAAACCAAGAGAAATAGTCAGATATTCCGATAAATACCGTTGTCGCTGTGCGTGATTTTGCGTCAGTCATGGCGTCACGCAGGACGGAAACTTTGACTATTTCTGTTGAATTTATCAATTCCTTGCAATATACTTATGTTTAATTCCCTAAATCTTCCTACGATTCTCTTTTCATGCATATTCTGAAAATGTTGAATCAATGTATGCAACAGATAGACAATATATAGCTCAAATTAGGAGAAAATGCTACACTATGTAAAATCTGAATGTTGTTTTGTTTACATTTCAAACAAATGCAGTTTTCCGAGCCAACGTTCGTTTTCACACCTACTTTGTTTTGCTTAATTTCTTTGTCTTGGTGACAAAGACCATTTGTCATTTGATTCTTAAATGTATGAGGAATTCAAGGATGTATGCTTTGCAGCTGAACTTGAAATATATGTAATGTAATTAGAGTCTCCTTACCGGTATGCATGGAACGTAGTTTTGTAAACCCTATCCAATATGGCGGAAAGTTCACTTTGGCGGTCGTATTTGCGTATTTTCCAAAGCATTCTAAACGATTCTAGGGTAATCGGCTAACGTTTTGGAAATATCATTTGTGATTTCATTAAAGACAAATACCGGTGATCAGTAATATGCTATTTTTTAAATTCATTTTTCCTAGTAAATATCCGAAATGTCAATACATGTGGTAATTAACGCCGTGAATGGTATTTCGTAATGCCTTCGCTGATACAGTTCAATTCATCGCATAATAGAACTGTAGTATTTGATAATACTGCGTGCGTGATCACGTACATGTTTATTGAAGTAATGTCGACACCAGTCAATTTGATCATGATGAATACGCGATAATGTAGCACGGCGTCGTCGATAAGCATGCGATTCTATTTGTCAACGAATGATTTACATTGGACAATGAACTATAAATAGCTGCACCACGGGCATTAATGATCCTAAAACATCGACTTTTGGCAGGAATGATTATGGAAGAGTTTCGACGCTTACACAACTGCTAAACATGAGTGATAATGTCAGTATATAGTCATGTAACAGAAAATATGTGTCAATTTCTCATTGCCTTATCATGACGTATCCGTGTCAAACCAATCATGAAGAATATACAAATATCGTTGACTCCGACGTACAATAGAGTCATTATATATGATTATCCTTTGATGTGCCCTATTTCTTTTTTTTGCTTACTTTGAAGCACAGGGACTATACATTTTATTAATCAAGTCTTTGTATCAATTGCAAAATAATACCAATTAAATTACACAACTAAACTAAAGATAAATTTGAAATAAGAATTGAGAATTGTAATAACAATGCCGATGTTAGAAATTATCTCCATATGCATACCTCCCTCTGCTTGATATGAAAAAAATAGTAACTTTTATTTGTAGTAATCTAAAAGAATGGTAATGACAATAATATCATAATCATAATATAAATATATGACTAATCTTAAATTGAAGTAGTCCTCTACACTATGCATTAAATGAAGAAGCCTATCAGCTAGTGGTGTGACGATACGGGAGAGTCGCGATACAGGGGTCGCGATACTATACGTATCACGATACAGTGTTTACTGGTACAAGCTAAGCCAAGTTAATGTCTTTCTGCTCTCTAAAAGATGTGACAAGTACAGTTGAAGAAGATATAAGGCATGTATTTACTGTTATAGCAAATTGTCAGCAATACAGTATGTTTTACTGAAAATACTAAATGGCTGAAAGAAAAAGTTACTCATAACTTTGTGCCAAAAAATAAACATAAACTTTAAATATCATTTATCAAGTTTCAACTTGTTTATTTCAGTAAGTTCAGTTCAGTTTAACTTCAAGTTTTTCTTTAAGAATATCAATCTGTTCACATGCTTCCGTTTGAGAGCAGATCGCTGTGCTGTGACCACATCACCTGCGGTGCTAAAAACTCTCTCTGATGGCACAGATGTTGACGGAACGCTAAGATATCTCTTAGCTAGCTTTGAAAGCCTGGGATAAAACAGAGAGTTCTCATCCCACCATCTAAGTGGAGAACTTGTAAGTACAGGAGTTTCTGTTCTTTGATAACGAAGAATTTCGTCTTGGGCCATCTCAACGGCTGACTTTTGCTTTGTCTTAACTTTGGTAAAGAACGTATCACCAAACATTCTCACAAAGAATGCCGCCTCCTCCACTTCCACATTCAAGAATCTCATGTTTGATATTCTTTTTTTCAGGAGATGAGTCAGAAGAATCACTTGTGTGGCTTGTGTCATGATGCCCCTGATCCTCCTGGGGAGTGGTCATGTCATCTGGAAGTTGGAGCATGGGTAGTGGCGGTTCCTCAGCAACCATCCCATCCTGAGCGCCCTCTGGTTCCGTCTTCACCTCCATGAAAAAGAACTATTTTAATATCATAATTTGTAAAAAAATAAAATTGATTTGAAAAATGAACAACTGTATTTGCTCACTCAACATATGTTCATAGGATTCAATAAAATGGAATGTATCATTGTTTGCAAATTCATGAGTCAGTTAGAGGAACAGTCTGGTTGTTAACTTGCTTAATTAATAATTATCAACATAGAATTATGAACTACCTGAACTAAACCTGCCACTTCACTCGCAGTGACTGCCAGTTGTGAAAAGATTTGGTGTCGTGCCAAGTCATCTACAAAGGGGAGTCCTTTGAACCGGGGATCCAATGCAGATTCAGTCACCAGGAAGTCATGGTCATCTGAAATTATTAGAAATATACATCTCCATACCCATAAGTTCATAACTGCAATTATCATTTAACACTTTTATCATCTGTCATTACTTTGAGAATATTCTAACTAGTTTGTCATATAAAATCACTTTAATGAAAAAGAACAGACTCTGTACAATACAGACTAGCCCATGGAGAAATGAGTACAATATCAAATTAGGTAGACATTCTCCAACAAAACTTACAAAAGACATTCTCTAAAATTCTCTTAAACAAAATATTCACCAACCTTTATATCTTGGCTGTAGATCTGCAAGCATAACCCGCTTCATGTCCCTAACAACTGTGCTATCGTCAGCCTTTGGTGATAAGTCTTGTAGTAACTTGTGGTACAGGGGATTCACCATTGATATGGTTGGACCAGTGTCTTCGCTGAGGGCAACTGTAGCTATTTTCATAGGCCTCATAATACCAAGGATGTCTTCAGCAACAGACAAATCGCTGTCGGCAAAAGTTGCCAAATCTCGTTAAGATTTTCTTATTTCTTTGCTGAGCATAGCAGCATGCACTGCAGGCTGCTGTTCTAGGTAACGTTCGATCATCTCGTAAGAGCTGTTCCAGGGATTGAAACATCTATCTTCAGTTTATGTTCAGGCAAATTGAGTAACACTTGTTTCTCTTACAAGACATTTGTTGCAATTGAACTTTTGTGGAAAAACGATACAGTTCTTCTGATTTTTGCAAGCACTGTGGAAGCAGCAGGTATATTCAATGCTTTCTGCGAAGCAATGTTCAAAGTATGGGCAAAACACCGCATATGATGATATGGAAGAAGTTTCATGGCTGCCACCATGTTGGAGGCATTGTCAGTTACAACTGAAAATGTTTTTTCGTTAATATCCCAATCTTGCAAACATTTAATAAGAGCATCAGCCACATTTTGAGCAGTGTGTGATTCGTTCATAAGTTCTGTCTCCAGTACATAACTTTGCATATTCCAGTCAGCTGTAATGAAGTGACATGTGACAGTGACGTAAGATTCAGTATGGCGTGAGGTCCAACCGTCTGTTGTCACGCTGACAGACTCAACTGCTTTAAGTTGAAGTTTCAAGTCATCCACCACTTGAGAATACATTTCTGGCACAGCTTTATCAGAAAAGTAGGGTCTTGACGGAATTTTGTATCTGGGTTCCAACTGGTAAATGTTTCGCTTGAAACCTTCGTTTTCAACAACTGAAAAAGGTCGGAGGTCTTTCACAATAAATTCGGCAATAGATCGGGTTGTAGTCTGAGATCTAACACTTGTAAATTTTAACTTACTGTCAAAGTTCAGCTTAGGTTGAGAGGAAGTTGCAAATGCGCCACTACTTGTCGCTGTCTGACTTCTTCCAGACTGGGATTTTGCGAGATGAACATCCGGGTGACGCCGTTGCATGTGCGTCGTCAAGTTTGTGGTATTGCCAGAATACTTCACTGCTATTCTACAATGTTTGCACATTACTTTTGATTTATCGGGAGTTGCTACACCTCTGCTCTCATACGTTGCTTCAATACCAAAATGTTTCCACACAGCAGCCCGATATACTGCCGGTGGATCTGGCAGTCTCGTCTGCCCTTCATTGGCGGCCATGTTTGTTGTTAACTTGATATGAAGTGCATTGTGGGTAAAAACAATACTAATAAAACTATTTTTTTTCTAGATCTACTAACTATTTAACATTTTAGGACCACTTTCATAGAAATGTATCAAAAAAAAGAAAATTATAAATGTATTTCGTAATTTCGTTTCGGAAAAGTGAACAGAAACTCTCGTCAGTGTTTACAGATGGCGCTTATAGGCTATTTATAGTCAAGCATGTGGCAGGTGGCACGTTCGGATAGTCTGGTTTTCATTCACTGGACATTCCTTTTAAACTGTTAAACGTATTTCATGTTTAAAAGTAAGTAAAACTGTGTTATGAAAATATCGTATGTATTGCGATACATGCTTTCCAAATCGATGCATCATATCGTGGGCTGTGCATCGGGATACAATACTTTATCGCCGTATCGTTACACAACTACTATCAGCCATTACTTCTACGATGTGGGTGGTTTTTGTTGTTATTGTAACATGGCGGAAAGCTACGAATCCAAAAAGGTACGAGAATCTGTACTTTACTAAGAACGTGTTACCACAAATATAACATTTGTTACATTACACTTTCTAAATTGCACTGTGTATTGTATTGGAACCGTGCCAATTTACACTTGTCAGAGGGGTGATCTAGACTACCAGTTGGCGGATTTTCATTTTTGTGGAAGCCTCGATGGGTGAGTGCGTTAGATCGCTAACTTTATGTGCTAGCGATTAGGTGCCTCACTCTGGCAGTGTGGGCTCGAATGCCAGACGGGACTCAACCAAAATAAAAAGTATGAGAATCTATACTGTACTAAGAAAGTGTTATCCCAAATATAACAATTGTTTCATTTGACCACTTTCTACTCGTAAATGTATTGTGTATTCATCCTAAAAGTGTTGTTTGTCAAACGATAACTTATTCCAGATTTGGACCGAAAATGACTGAGATAATGGTCATCGTGGTGGTTCCAGAGGCTTGTTTCAGGTGTTACACTCACTGAAATATGATAGGGTGAATGAATGCTCCAAGTGTAATGAAACAAACCTCACAAATGGAATGAGAGAGGAACACTTTAACATAAGATGTGATTTTCTTTTTCAAATAGAATATTTAAAATTGTGTGCAAACCTATAACTCCTTCAATTGTATAGGGCGCAGTGAACCCTGTTTGACATAAAAGAAATGTAGCCACATGAAACATGTCTGCCAGGATTACTCTTGCAATCAGTAATTGGTTAAGCGGACATGTTTGTGTATGAAACATCAGGTCTTGACGGTAGTGAACTGCAACTGTCTTCCTTTATTCCAAAGCGGGGGAAAAAATAGTCACCATGAACCTCATGTTTGTTGAAAGAGCCGACGAAATGACTCTTATGAATGTCTGTCATTCCCCGACCGCGTGTGTGGTTGTGCATGCCGTCAGTTATTGGTTGGTCTTGAATATTCCCAAGATGTCGTGTTATAGTTGCACTCTTGCTGACACTCTCCACCATTCCTTGCACTAAACAGCTGCAAGTAAGCCGCTGAGGTGTGTTCTTTTCTTAATGTGACTTAGACTTGACAATTCATTTGCCGTTCATGATCCAAAACATGGTGTTAAATGACACGATTCATTTTTACGATTTTTTCTCTTTTGTCAAGGCAGCACCCAACACAAACCTGGTTTGGTTGAATATTTGACAATTTTCAGTTAACGTTTCCCTGATGTTGCAGTGAGATTTCTTTTTCTGATTTTACTCCTGTTACCTGTGTGTTATTCTGTAACACGTGACCTTTCTTCAATAGTACAAACATGACGTTAACCATTATTTCTAGATTAGTGAGAACTGATTCATCTTTGTGTTATACGATACGACTTTGTAGCTGATAACATCCATGATTTCACAAATATATTCATGCACTGTACCGCGAGAACACACCAATTCAGATTAACATGCAAATGATCTCTCTTTGTGTTTATACTTACTCCACACTTCTACCTCAGCAAAGTCTAGCACAGCACCCTGTCCATCATTACTTGTCTCAGTGTAGACAGTCAGGTAGCGCCATGTACCAGGACATGTCACTTCCAGTACGTCCGGGATGTCTGTACCGTCAGGACTTCCAGTAACTGTGTGACATAGACTTCCTTCTTTGGGCTCAGATGAATTTGTCACAGAAGCGTAGAGTTGAAGGCCATTGCGTCGTGCCTTGACTGAAAGGAAAATTTGCTAAAATAATATCTATCTATATATTGATTCTCGGCATAATAGATAAGCATATACAGCGTGGGCTTACGACAACGTGACATACAAGTGTATATGTGTAATGAATATAAACTGACGTCCAAAAGAAACTTTACCAGAGTTTGAAATCACTCTTGCTCAAGAACAACAAAACATACATGCACGAAGTAAAGTGTATTGAGAAGATCAATATATCAACATAATCAACACTGAAAATGACAATCATACCGCGACCGAGAATGACGTCAGAGCCCTCCAAAGTTGGGTGTGGTACAAAACTCGAGCTTTCAGAATCATGGACAATAGGCAGAGTACATAAACAATCGCTCACGTTCAATAACAAACCATTAGTAGCGTGTGTGACCACCAAATGCCTCAATACACGCAAAACTGTTCGACGCACAGAAAAAGTCAGTCAACTGATGAGGTCACGTGGGATTTGACGCCATTCTTCTTGGAGGGCAAAGATAAGTTCTTGCCGGTTGGCTGGAGAGTGTGGTCGTTGTCGAACACGACGATCCATCAAGTCCCAGAGGTGTTCTATCGGGAACATGTCGGGTGAGCATGCAGGCCACGGCCGGACGTTGACGTTGCTGGCTGCGAGAAAGTTAGTGACAATTCTGGCCGTATGGGCTCTGGCGTTGTCATACTGATAAATGACACAACGTGGCTGCTGTTGGAGAAATGGTAGGACAACTGGATGTTATCCATGTAACGCTGAGCTGTCAAGTTTCCATCAACGATGACCAGCGGTGTCAACTCCTGCCCACAGATCCCTGCCCACAACATGACACTCCCTCCACCATATGGTACAACCTCAGGGACGCAACACGCCGCGGTTCGTTCACCCTGAACACGTTGTCTTCCATCAGCCCTAAACATACAGAATCGACTTTCGTCAGTGAAGACAACCCTCTGCCAGTCACGTCATTGCCAACGTCGTACAGTCCGGGCCCATCTCAATCGCAGACGACGATGTTGCGCTGTCAATAACTGTCCTCTGTATGGTCTAAAAGCCCTGATTCCATGAGCCCTGAGTCTCCTGGCCACTGTCTGTCGACTAACCCTGTGACCTAAGGCATGTGTCGCCGATGACCTCACTGTCAGGAAGCGATTCCGGAGGTGCAAGGTACGCAAGTACCGGTCATCATGGGGCGTGGTCACCCTGGGTCTGCCTGTTCTTGGCATGTCAGCTGTCCGCCCTGTCTGTCTGTAACGTTGCAACAAGTTGGTAACGGCAACACGGGAGCAACCGAAGGTTCGTGCAATATTGGCGTGGGCGGCTCCCATCTGTACCATACCCAAGGCTCGTTCACGTTGTTCGTCTGTGAGTCGTGGCATTTCTTTTGTGTTCTTTTATCACTGTGGATGTCTGACTTGCCGTTGCAATCGTTTTATACCCTTACCCGCACGTTCATTTGCAGTTGTCCGTGGTGCACGTGTTTTTCACTTTTTCGCGTGTTATCTCGCAAACATGTTACAGACGATTAACATTTTCTGCATACACTATTGTTGTATTTAGTTTTTTTTATGTGTTTTAGATAGACTTCATCGAAAAAATATTTATACTTTGTCTGAAATTTATATTTTCAGTTGGTAAAGTTTCTTTTGGACGTCAGTTTATTATAACAACATTAACGTATACTATGACGGTCACAATAAGCATCCTGGTAAGAAGCAGTGGGATTCAGGAAGCAGCATATATGATCTAACATGAGTATAATGCACTTACAGTCTGTCCTGAAGTAGATTGTAACCTGTGCTGACTGTACTTGTGTCTGTAGATCCAACTTCCACCAGGCTGTAGATTCATCACCCTTGGTGTGGATTGAGTAATCCTCGCCGTTTGCAGTAGTCACTCCATCTACAGCTCTACCAGCAGACTGTGAAGGTTGGCGTGTTGTACTCATCCATGCTATTTTGTTCAGGGCGACATTTTCTCTCACACCTGTAGCATAAACAACGTATTGAAAGTACATGCATAAAGTACATGCGTAATAAAAGGGAACCAAGAGAGACTAAACAAATCTGCAGAGCTATAAGTGCTTGCAATTTCACAAGATGTTGAAAGGTTCTATCACCCATCACTGACATGCCATTGAGAGTGTCTGTAACAGGAATATTGATTTATCGCTCCTACCACATGCAGTAATCTAGATTTGCCAAATATTATAGATTGACATGGGCTGTATTCGATTTATTTGTTTCACAATCTGTATTTCGAGACGCTACACATTTTAGCAACCAAACCTTAACACACCCCTCCGTGGATGTATGCAAAACTAGACGTTCAAAGTGTTCCAGTGGTATTCCGTCATTATTAATTAAGAATTGACTTTCACTTTGTGTGAACCTTCATAGAGTGAAGACCAAACTGTATGAACGTCAGTGCTTGCGACATTCGAACCCACGATCATAGGTTTCAGACGTTAACACACATCCGTGTGCCGTTTTGATCATAAAAACGACACCGACAATAATGATATGTGAAATGATTTCGAGAGAAAAAGGGACCCACATTTCCACTGCGACTCACAAAAGACAACTGGAGTATAGACAAAAGGAGTTTTACCATTTCTTCGTCTGCGTAGATTAACTCACTCACTGTATACATGTGCACGATTAATCGAAAAGGGCGACAACGTAACAATGCCACATTATTAAGATCTTGCTTTGGCACATTATCGCATTTTAACGCCTCTATTACGCATGTTTGATGGCGCGACAAACCGATATATTTTAGTCCTGAAAATTGTCGCATTGTGGCATTGTCGCCCTTAGGTAACTTTTGAATATGAAGCGCAACAATGCGACACAAGGCTATAATGTCGCATTGTCGCGCTTTGTTCAATTTTGAAGTTGGTTGCCTGTTCTTATAAGGGCGACGACGCGACAATGTCCCTTTCATAGTCTCTCGCTGATGTGCATTAATCTGTCAGGGGCCCTGAAGCGACTCTGTCCTACTGAACTGCATGACGACGTCCCGGTTTGTCAGGTTTGCACACACATGTGTGAAAGTGTGTGATACAGCTCCTCTACAAATTAAACACTGAAGTATGTTTGAACAAAATCCTTATACCTATGAGTGACTGTTTATGTGTAACAATAGCTTATATACATGCTTGTATGTTTTATAGGTTAGGTGTAATGGGATTTAAGGTCGCATGCAAGATTATTGTACTTATATGGCGACACGCAAGCACGTGTATGAGTGTGTGGCTGCTTGTACTAGTCCGGGCTGATGCCGATTTATAGTGCTAGCCCACTCAGATACCATGCCGCAGGTTAACAGAATACCCCACTCGGACAGAGTACGCTGTCAGTTTTAGGATATTTTAACTTTTAGGAATTCAGACACACGCCAAGTCAAACTAAACCACGTTACTAAGTTTATTGACATCACATATCCTTCTGCCATGCACAGTTAGTTCTATCGGTCACTCGGTTGCCTATTATTTGGTTACAATAGTAAATGAAATTTAATCTTGAGAAATATGAAATGTTGCTTATAGCGATTAAAATGGACTAATATACCTTATTCTTTTAGTTACTTACGCTCAACATACACATAGTTATATATAATGTAATGCCTGGCTCGTAACACGAAAATCAGGCATGGCAATACACATATTTACAGCATATTCCCACCACTGGAGGATATAGTAGTAATTACGTTCTTGGTACCATGCATGTATATGACCTGTAATAATATGCGTTTAAAGATATGCGTTAATACAATACACGCCGACACTAGTATATTCTAAACAATACAATTGGATGATTGAATACGATTTCTAGTACATATTACATCACATCCCTTCACATAATACTGACAACCTGTGAAGATCCGGGGTAGAAAAGGTCTTCAGCAAACCATGCTTGTAAGAGGCGATTGTGCTTGTCGTAAGAGGCGACTAACGGGATCGGATGGTCAGGCTCGCTGGATTGATGCATGGCATCGTATCCCAATTGCGTGGATCGATGTTGATGATATCAGTCACTGGATTGTCATAACAGTGATGCCAGTCGTCACTATTGCCGATCATGAAAAATAGTTTGTGCATCAAAAGCGTATGCCGCCACACAGATGGCACTCGTCACAAACACATTCAAAGACAAGTCAGTTGTTATCCTAAACCTTCACGGACACATTATGGTACAAATGTAGTGATGTAAGTCCTCACCATTGGCCAGCATGAAAAAACAATAACATAACATTCAAATGATAAATGGACTTAGATTTGCATGTAACAGACCCAACACCCCTGCATTCTTGGGAGCGAGCCATTTGGTATTTAGGGAGGGAGTGGGTTGGGATAGAGTCATGTATTCTGTCTTATTTTCAGAGGATTTTTGTCTTCATAACAGAGAGCTGAAATATCTAAGGTCACATTTCAAATACAACATTTGGAAAAGTTATTTATATTTTCTCACTTTTCCCTAATAGAGTGCAGATGTAGGTGATTTGATAAACAATGAAAATAGCTGTATGATAAAGCATTTTTAGATCATAAAACACCATGTGTTGCAAAAGCCCAATGTTCAGCTTTTTCCCATTTGACAGAAAACTGGTCAACTTTACATGTTTGTGTCCAAACCGTTGAACAGTGACAAATAACATGGTAAGATTCACGCTACAACACGATACTGCAGCTGACAGGCAGACTGGGCGGAAGAAGGGAAGAGAGAGAGATTAGAACATTAATCTTGTAGGATCTCCTTGACCGTCAAATTAGAGCACGACCAGGTGACCATAATAATTATAACAAGCATCAGTTCAGCACAGGCCCCCTGCAAAGAATGGCGTTGAATCTTATTTCTTCTGATCAGACGCCTCACGTCTTCTGCAATGGTCGAGTTTGGGAGTGCATTGACGCCCGTAGAGGGCATTGACGCTATTGACTGACAGGCTTGACATTTTGAAGGAATAAAGGGAGTTTCATGTGCTGATTTCAGTCTTGATTGTGTATCGAGTACTGATCAACTGGCCCGATCATCCAAACTGTGGGCACACTACGTTCAGTTTTGTTCACATTCACGGCATTGCTTCTAATGACGTCCCTTATTAATTCTGGAAACCCATTTGTCCAGTAACTCTCCATTCTGTGGCCAGCCTCTGCCCAAGGTTTTTGCAAAATTGAACATGCTGTTATCGTGGGTACATAAAATGGGAGACAAAATGTAAAAACTATCTTTTTAAAAACTCAAATTTTAAACTATATCGAGATTGGCCCATTGGCCTGCCCATGGGCGAAGAGTGGCCCATGGGCAAGCAAGTGGGCGACAATATTTTCCTTTGCTCAAAACTCATGTTTGTCTTTGGCAAATACTTAAACGTGCGTCTACAAGCATCATCACATATGATTGAACTCATTTCAATTTAATTCAACTAATTTGTGGCGTTATTAAAATATTTCGCCCATGGGCAGGCCCATAGAAGAAGTTTCAGTTTTGTTTGTCGTTTAAGGCCGCACTTTGTGGCGGCGGTCTGTAAGTTATTGAGTCTGGACCGCTGACTGACATGACCGCTAATCTACGCATATGGGATACGATAACATGCATCAAGTCAGTGAGCCTGACCACACGATCACGTTAGTCGCCACTAACGACATGCCTGGGTTGCTGAAATTCTAACACGAATACTAAAGTACAAGCATGTTTCATACATATATTACATCAACATCAACCTGTACTATTGAGATAACATCTTGAATAGGGATTCAGGATTAAGGACGCATACATTCAGAAACAGAACTGTAATACGCTTACAGTCTGTCCTGAAGTAGATTGTAACCTGTGCTGACTGTACTTGTGTCTGTAGATTCACCTTCCACCAGGCGGTAGGTTCACCACCACTGGAGCTAATTGACGAAGTCTTACTGACTGCAGTAGTTACTCTATCTACAGCCTTACTAGCCTACTTTGAAGGTTGACGTGTTGTAATTTTGGATGGCATCACAAACAAAAAACTGGGTGAAATGAATTGAAGCAATTCATCATGCACTAAAACTCAAACTCAAACTCATACCGGAACTACCGGAAGCAAAGGCAGTTATCCTATCAGACTCGCTATGTACACTTCAAGCCAGCAGCAGCGGAAACTCAAATTCGACACCAAACACAGTCAACACAATTCTGTACGAATACACAAAACTATCGGACCAAGGGCAACACGTGGAGTTGTGTTGGATCCCGTTTTACATAGGTATTCATGGAAATGAGAAAGCAGACACTCCGATGAAGCTCTCTCGAGACAAAGTGAAGCCTGTTCCTTTCGGTAAACCTTAGATAAAAAGCACAATCAAAGCCTCCACAGCCCAAAGATGGCAAGCCCAGTAAGATCGGCAGATGGCTATACAAAATTCACAGGTCATAACAAGAAAGAAGTGAGTAAAGCTCACATACCCCCGTTATCCCCGCTGGTCAACAACAAATAGTAAATAGTTTGTTAAAATCTAGGACGGAAGGACGGACAGACGGAACGCTATATACCCCCGATTTACTTTGTAAGCGTGGGTGTAAAAAGCACTATGACAAGGTATACCAATCTTGCAATCAACCTGAACCCATTGTTCACGTGTTTGCTTGAATGTTAAGACCATGCCCCAGCCTAGGCTCAGTTAAAGCAAGAATTGCAGTTAGATCCGATTTCTATCGTATATCTAAAGCTAAAGACTGTTATTAATGTAAAACAATATCATGACTGATAATTATTATTATGAGTATAGAAGTGGCAAATGGTATGCATATAGTGTACTTGCATGGATATTGTCATGTCATTAGCTCAGTTATTATTGACAGTGTTAGTGAATCAGATGTATTGTCATGAATAGTTGTGCATTTATTGCACTTAAGAACAAGCATAACAACTGTATTGTACATACTTTATATACTAAGATTTGTTCAACAGCGAAAATCATGTACGATTTTTCACATTACCTTCGAGGT